TAATCCTCCCAAGCCAGGAGCATAGAAGGTGTTTCCATTTCCTTAAAACTACTTTAAACTCTTTTTTCAGATTTTTAAAGTTTTCATCATAGAGATCCTTTATATCTTTGGTTAAGTTAATTCCAAGTTTTTTTGTTTTTATATTACAAATGGAATTGCTTTCCTGAATTCAGTCTTGCTCTTCTCATTGTTTGCATACAGAAAAGCTACTGATTTTTTTGTGGGTTAATTTTATACCCTGCTACTTTGCCAAAGTTTTGGATCAGCTCAAGTAACTTGGGAGAGGAATCTATAAGGTTACAATCTCAAAGAAACAATAACCCAATTAAGTTGGCTAAAGACTTAAAGAGAGACTTCACAGAAGAAGTAAGAATGGCCAATAGACATATGAAAAAATGTTCAGCATCTCTGGCTATAAAAGAATTGCAAATCAAAACAACAGTGAGATTCCACCTCACTACAGTTAGAAAGGCCATTTTCAAGAAAACCAACAATAACTAATGCTGGCAGGGATGTTGCTAACAGGGAATTCTACTACACTGTTGGTGAGAATGTAAACTTGTTCAAGGAGTATGGAGGTTTCTCAAAGACTGAACATAGAGCTCCCCTATAACCCAGCATTCCACTCCTGGGCATTTATCCAGTTGATCACAAATCAGGTCACACTAAAGCTACCAGCACAACCATGTTCTTTGCAGCATTGTTTACCATAGCCAAGATATGGAATCAACCCAATGAATGGATCAAGAAAATGTCATTTATATACACAATAGAATTCTATGTTTCCACCAGAAAGAATGATACTGCCCCGTTCATAAGGAAATGAAAAAACTTGGAAAAAATTATATTAAGTAAAGTAAGCCAGATCCCCCCCTAACATAGGTTGCATGTTTTCCCTCATTTGTAATAATAAGTCTGTGCCTATAAACCCATATGCAAATACAATGGATGGTAAAGACGAAAAAAGTACACTTGGACATGATGAACCCAAAAGGATATCCTTAGGAGAGGATCACAAAGGCTCAATAACTATGTTCATATGATTATATAAAGTGATATTTATGGAAGTGAACTCCAAGAAGTGGGAACAAGAGGTTCTTTTGTTATTTTACTTTTTGTGTTTTTCCCCTTTGTCACTGTTTTTGACTTCTGTACTTTTTGTCTTGTATGTACATTTATGAATTTGGGGGAAGGGGAAGGGGAGCACAGCAATGGTGGGACAAAGGGTAAACAAATGTGGCAGTGATACTCACTAGACACTATGTTGAAAATGAACTACATAACTTGGGGGAGAGGAGGGTCAGGAGGCAAAAAACTAGGAGAAAATGAGGGAAGAAATGACACTATTAAAAAAAATGTACTCATTACCTGTCTTATGTAACTGTACCCCCCATATCACCTTTACAATAAAAATTAAAAGAAAACTAAAAATGGAGTATTACTCAGCCTTAAAGATATAACTATTGTTGTTTTTGACAACAAAGATGAATCTGGAAGGTATTATGCTTAGTGAAGAAAGACAAATATTGTATGATCTCACTTTTTTATTTTTAAATAACAATAGACCCTCAAAATGTTAGAGTGGAAGGTGCTTTCAGTATTATTAAGTCCAAAATCTTCCTTTGACAGTGGAAAAAGTTCAAGCCTTCTAAGAGGTTAAAACACCTGGATCTATAAATAGATACTTTTCTCCCAAAGTTCAAAACAACAACCTTTTTCCCTCCCCACACTTACACCCTACAAAGGAGTAGGCCATTTGCTAGGAGCTTGTATATGCTGATTGGAAAGAGCTGCAGGCCATGAGACAGTTCTTTTGACCTTCTGAGCTCTCGGAGTACCAACTGAGGCTTTGAGATGGGGGTAAGCTGCAGCTGGCCTTCCAGTTCTAGTTTCTAGGATAAAGTTTTCCCTGTATCACTCTACTTCCTACTACAGGGATCTTCATGTTTGAGGCTTCACTTTCCTGCCTGGACTCCACATGTCCCTGGGCATCAGCTTCTTATGTTCCTCAGACCTCTTGGCTTCTTCTTATCCTGGTCCATCTAGAAAACATCCCCCAGGGTGGAGCCAAGTGTCTGATCTCTGGCCACTCTGCTGGGGATCTGTGCCCAGCTCTGTGTTCCACCGCCCTCCCGCCCCTGGGACACTCCATCCTGTTCCCCATTGACTTTTCCTGCTTGTGCTTGAGATTTTGCTAAACTTTGCCAGAACTCCATATTGATGTGAATTTGGCATTGGGTGAACATTCCTCAGAACTATTGAGAAGGCAGCGGTAGGGTGGGCTGGGGTAGGAGTGCCCTTTTGGAGGTAAGCCAGCTTCTGGAATGAGGATGGCACCTCATGCCCTCATATCTCTTCAGCCTGATCCAGGGTCTGGGGAACTTGTTATTATGCTATGGGAATGTTTCAGTTTCAGCTGGATCCTGCTTCACCCCAGTTGTGAGGAAGCTATAAGTGCCCAGGTGCTAGCACTGGTTCCTCCTAAAAGTGGACATGTGATCACCCAGGGTAGGGAGATAGATGCCTCTGATGCTCTTCCCTATCCCTTCAGGTCCTCCAAATGCCACCCAACCCCAGGAGTCTTAGAGTCTGGGGTTGGAGACAGCAAAGAATTACAGAGTTAAGGAGTTGTTTTTGTTTTTGTACTGCCTGGGTACCATTCCTTAGCTTTTTTTTTTTTCTCTCAAGGTTGGTGCCATACCACATGAGCCAAACTTCCATTTCCCACTATTTGCTGAATCATTGGAGGTAAGAGTCTCACAGACTTTTCTGCCTGTGCTAGCTTTGAACTGTGAGCCTCAGATCTTAACCTCCTGAATAGTCAGGAGGAGTGAGCCACTGGTACCCAGCTGAGTTAGGGAGATCTTAGAGATCATTGACTCTTTCTTATATAAGATGAGGAAACAGAAAGGTAGAAAGATGGAGTTTTTCCAAGTCCTACAATTGGTTAGTGGCAGAGCCAGAGTACAAGTGATTACCATCCCCAACACAGCTCAATAAGCTTTCTAGCAGCTCTGGGGGATCACCAGAGCAGGTAGATCACACATCCTTCTAGTTATTGAAAGAACTCTGTGCAGGGCTCTACAACCTGACTGTTTGGTTCACTCTGGGATTTGCAGTGTCACTTGGAGGGGTTATGAGGGAATAGCAAACACCCATCCTGGTTCCATATCAGCACTGCCAAGAGCTTTAGGATCTTAGCTACTTTAAAAAGCTTGCGTAAAATGTGTGTGGATAGTCCATAGTGGCTGGAAATAACAAGATCTTTTCAGGTGTAAGAAGAAATAAAAGCTGTGTATTATTCTGAATGTCTGGGAGATGAGGAATGGAAGGGGAACAAAAGGGTAGATGTGTATAGAAAAGACCAACCCTAGCTCTTCATAATTCTCAGTCTTGTTTTGCTTGTTTCCAGTCCTTTTCAGCATTGTGATTCCAAAGACACTAAAAGGAAACATTCTCTGTCTGATTATAACCTTTCTAATGAAAGGGTTGAACTAGTGGCTTCAAGAAAGAAAGAATTTGTAGAAGCCATTTAACTCTGAAACTACACATTCCTCAACCAAGGTCAGCTTGTGATTGGAACTCATAGTCTGCTGGATCTGACCATTGAATTAGCCCACCTGCCAGCAGGCTTCTGTTGGAGAGACATAAGGATTAAAAAAAAATTTCACCAAGAACAAAAGTGAACTAAGTAAGCCATGGCAGCCAGGACAGAGCTGCTCTCTTAGCACAGAATGACAATTGTCAGAGCTTGCTTTGTCCTAATGTACTGGGCTTCCTCCTCTTACAACACTCCCGTTCTTCCAGGGTGTTCTTTAATGCTGAAGGGACCAGTTCATGTGATTCTGCTAACAAGGGCTTGGGGGCTGATGGAGTGAGGGCAGAGCTGGACTTTCCACAATAAATATTTTCCTTCTGGAAGCAATTCTTGTCCTAATACTGGCTCTGGGTTTCCTGTGATGCCTGTTCATAAATGATTCAGGTCTTACTTTTTGAAAGCATTACAGTTCTCTCTCTCTTTCCTCCACCCAGGAGCACAAACAGCAGTCTGATGCTTGAATTTAATACCTAGTAAAGCTTCCAGGTTCAAGAATAAAAAAGGAAGCACTGTAAACAGCACACAAATCCCACATCCAACCAGCCACAGCTGCCAGCCTGGCCAGGGCTAAGGGAAAATGAAGGGTTGGGGGAAACTACCATCATATACTGTATTTATCTGTGGATCCAGGCTGAATTATGTCTTTTGCATTGTTTCTGCAGGCCCTACTAGGCTCATGGGATACCTAGTTCTTGCATTAGTCAGTTTTTCATCATTTTAATAAAATTTTAATAAGACAAATAACTTCAAAAGGGAAACAGTTCATGTTTGATCCATGAATTTAGAAGTTCTAGTCCATAGTTAGGTTGACCATTGCTTGGGGCTTCTAGTGGGGATGCCAGAGGTTGAGGAGATGTGGCAGAGCAAACCTAGAAAGTAAAAGAGGAAGAGGAAGGGACTGGGGATCCTATGACCTCAGATCTTCTCGCTAGGCCCCACCCCGCAAAGGTTTCAGCATCTCTCAATAGCGCCACCTTGAGAACCAAGCCTTCAACACATGGGCCCTTGGGAGACATTTACCCCCAAACCACAGCAATTCTCTAGTTGCCTAGGACCTGATGGACATCCGGTCACATCTCAGAAAGGTCAGACACCTTCCTCACAGCTGGGAAAACAGTGTAATTTTTTTTTTTTCCAGACTTAGCTGTTCCAGGTAACTATGTAGCTGGAACTCTGCCTCTAGCTCCTCTTAACTGGAAGTGTTATCTGATGTGCTTGGCTGTCCTCTGGGGTTCAGCCTGGATCCCCCTCATTCATGAGATCATTCTCTGGTAATCCAGCTCCGTTTTTGACATCCACTTGTAGTAAATTTTTATAACCACTAATGCTGTTGATGATGGTATTATGATAATAACAATAATTCTAATAGCTAATATTTATTAAGGGGATACTTTGTGTCAAGTTCTATCTAAGCGCTCTTTTGTATGAACTCAGTCTAGCTTTACAACAGCCCTTTAAGTTAATATTATATTGCCTACTTTGCTGGCATGAAAATGGCTCCATTTTTGGCGTGGTGTACGTGTGTCACTTTTGCTCCACACTGCACCTTCAGAAGAAAGGTGGTGTGCTATACAATGTGGAGGGTGAGTGAAGGGGGCCAGGCATGGCATGGTGCCTCCCACTTCACTGTGGGAAGTAGTTAGGGTCCTAATGTAGTTTTGAAATGAAGTTTAGAGAGGTTGAGTCATTTGCTGACATTAACTCAAGTCCTGAAGCTTATTAATGACCCAGTTACACATAGAGTGATGTGCTACATCCTATAATCTGTTTTTGCCCAGTAAGATTGATATGGCAACTTATTTAAATAAATAAGTTGTATCTTTAAATTATATATAAGAACTTCACTCACCAATATCATCAGTTTTTTAAAAAATTACCTTGTAGTGGTAATTTCTTTTCACTTAATAATTAATTAATTGATATACTTATTTTTATTAGCATGCATTAATCGTATAAGAGAGGGTTTCATGATGACATTTCTGCACGTTATACAATATACCCTGATCAACCTCATCCCCTCCATCAGTCTCCTTCATCCCACTTTCCCTTCTCAAAACAGTTTCAGCAAATTTCATTGTTCTATTTTTATACCTGCAGATAAACTACTTTGACTAGATTCATCCTCATTTACCCTCTTTGTTAGCTCTCTCTGCTCTCTTGCTGGTATGTCTTCTGTAATCTTGTGGTTGAATGCACTATTTTACCTATACTTGCCCAATGTATGACATTGAGCTTGACCTCTCTACTTCAGTTTCATTATCTGAAAAAAATGACAGAAAGAAATGGCTACTTCTAAAGTTGTAGTTACGAGTGAGTCAGATAAATGCAAATAAAAAGCTTAGAACAGGACCTCTAGCATGAAGTAGTCACTCAATAATTGTTATTATTATGATTTAATGCAATGTAATGCACCAAATGTCTACAGAGCACCTATGATGTGGTACAGAACAAGACACTGTATTTAAAGCTCCTTTCCTTTTATTCCTCTTCTTCACTCTCCAAAGTGCCTTGAAAAGCATTGGGCACATAGTAGCTCATCAATAAATATTTTGTAATCAAGTTCTGCAATATAGCTTGGTAATGGGTCTCAAAAGAGCTTCTCTACTGGGCACTGGTGGCTCACATCTGTAATCCTAGCTGATCAGGAGGCTGAGGGCTGAGAATAGCAGTTTGAAGCTATCCTGGGCAGGAAAGTCTGTGAGACTTTTATTTCCAATTAACCACCAAAGAGTTGGAAGTGAAGCTGTGACTCAAGTGGTCAAATGCTAGCCTTAAGCACAAAAGCTTGGGGCCAATGCCCCCCCCCCCCCACACACAGAGAAACAGAGACAGAGAGAGAGACAGAGAGACAGAGACAGAGATCGAGAGGAAGAAAAAGTGCTCTTCTGCCTATCTTTGTAAATGTTGTCATCTGCTAATCTTTATCTTTCTTTCCCTCTTCTGCTGTACCTGATTTTGGAAGAACCAGTGGTTGTATGATGGTAGAAAATCCCAGTTGTGGGGGCAAGTGAGGTGGGTCTGCACGAATGGACATACGTAAGTTATTTCCATCGTTGGGTCCCTGGGCTTGGCTTAGATACCAGCCCAGGCCTCTTGCATTGCAAAGTTTGATTTTTCAGGGAAAGTAAGTGCCAAGGAAGTGCCAGCCCTGTACTGTTCCTCAAGTCCTTGCACTCAACTTTCTAAGATGGCAACTATATTAAATTATTTTTAGCTGCAGTGCAAAAAATTCCAAGTCATCCCATCCCTCCATTCCTAGCCATGGCTATACCCCTGCTCTTTTCTGTAAGCTTTCACTCAAAGGAACATTCTGTGAACATGGATGTATACAGGGTATATACACAGACACTTCTCAGCGGGCCACTGATACCTCTGCCTTGCAACAGTTGCAAGGGAAGAGAATAACTGTTTGCAAATGTTCAGCGCTTCTTATTTAAATTATTGAAGCTGCTTACATTCGAGCAAATTGCTGAGCTACCTTCTAAAGACCCCTGATATGTGTCTAAGAAAATAGAGAAATGCTGCCTAGCTCAGAAAGTTGGGTGAAAACATCAGAGCAGAGAGGTGCATCATTCTAGATGATCAAGGCTTGCTTTAGAACTGCTGCTACCAAGAGAGGAGCAGAGGCAGGAAAGAGTTCTCCAGGAGTCTTAGGGAGACCGCACAAGTCCAATGCTAACTTGGTAAGGAAGAGTTACAATGTTATAATTACATGACCAAGATAGGGTGTATATGAAATTGTTCTTGGCAATCTGGGACAAGTGATGTGACCCTCTAATGTCTCCTTCAGCCCACTTTGGAGTTACTGATCTGCAGCTCTCTTTGGGATGTTGGCAGAGAAATATATCTGCTTTTATTTTTTGTTGGTGTTAGTACTAGGGCTTGAACTAAGAGCTTGGGTGCTTGTTGTCTCTTAGCCTTTTCTCTCGAGGCCAGTGCTCTACCACTTGAGCCACAGCTCCACTTCTGGCTTTTTGGTGGTTAACTGAAGATACAAGTTGCATGGATTTTTTTCCTTTCTGGACTGGCTTTAAACTCTCAAATCTTAGTTTCCTGAGTAGCTAGGATTACAGGCATGAGCCACTGGCTCCGGGTTGCTTTTACCTTTTGAATTTGTTTCTGGCATGCCCTTGGTTGAAGAGGAAGTGGCTGCATTACCAGAGACTTGAGTCTTTTGGCATGGAAGTATTAGAAATGCAAGGAAGTCAGCGTGTAGGGAATACGGGAGAGGCTTTAACGGAGCTTTGGCAGGGCAAAAAAAAGCCAGTGTGACCTAAGAGGAGACCATGATGCTTCCTGACCAAAGAGAGAAGTGAGCTTTTATTGATTTGCTGGCATCACCTTTTATGAAAGACTCCAAGTGCTTAAGAGCACAGGAGTGGGGCAGAAGCTCCAGGACTTTTCACTGTTTACTGTTCCTAACTGTCTCACATACTTGGCCTAAAGTGAGAGAAGGATGTGCACTAAGGAAGGTTGGAGACTGAAGCAACCTGGGGCCGTGGGCTCCCTTCTTTCCCCAGGTTGGATTTGTACTTTATTGAAAGACCCAAGGAGTGTATTGCAAGAGAATGTTTCTAGACTTAATGGAGACTTGTCAAAATACATGGCTGGAGGACACCTTGCTCCCGCAGGTCAGGCTTGGGACGGAAGCCTCCCTCACAGGGATCACAGGAGCAGGGCGTCAGGATGGGAGGCTGGGTTAGAACATTGCAGCACCTCTGAACCAACACAGCACCCACCTTCATCCGGAAACCCTTACCCTCCACTCATCCCCTGGCTGTCCCTTGGCTTTACCTTCCCACGTTCCATGGGAATTCCTTGCTCACAGTCCTCTCCCCATCTTGAGTGACTACGGAATTCTTCAGAGGACCCATTCCTTCCTTATTTTGAACTTCTGAGCCTGGCAGGTAACAAGGGGACAATAAATCTTGGGTAGTCATCAAGTTGAAGGTACTCATCATCTAGTAGACTCAACCTAAGTGCTATCTTTCCTCCCCTTCTGAGCTGAAATACAATTGGCTTTGAGGATAAAGATCACTCACTTTGAAGAGGTGAAATTTCCAGCTCTCTGTACTACTCCAGTCACACAGGGAAGAGAGGCTTTGTGTCTGACCAGTTTTGATTGGGGCCTATCTGAGCTCAGTGTATCTCCATGTAATGTGGTGAATACTGAAGCTACAGACAATGAGGGGGCCTTGATCAGGTGCTGAGAACAGCACCTGTCTCCTAGGATTCATGACTGAGAGTTGGCTGGGAATCTCACTCCTTATACACCCCCAGCCTTCCCGTCTGCTATGAGCCCCTTGCTCTGTTGGAGCAAAGCAGAAACCACCCAGCTAGGAAATTATCTCTCAGCTTCCTGCCAAGGAAGGAGGCAGGAGCAGAAGCAGGAGCCTCTTCCTTGGGGGCGAATTATTTAATCACTTGTCTTTCTCCTTGAATCAATGCAACTAATGAACAACATCTTTTGCTTCTTCCTCCTTCCCTTCTGCCATCAGCCTCTTATTATTCAAATTTACTTTTTTGCCTGTGCTCTGGGGCCATCAGGGACCTCACCTCATCAAAATTGGGCCCCCTGGCACCGCAGCCTCTCTCCTACCCTGCAGTCTGCTGTGGGGTGACAACAGCTTAGAGAAACTGTGAAGGGCAGAATCTGCCAGTGTCACACAAAAGCATGGTCCTCAAGCTACCTCTGAGAGGGAGATGTCAGAACAGGAGGTGGGGTGAGAAGGAAGAGAATGGCAGAGTGATTTGTTATGGCTAAAGGCAAATTTATTTCTCCAAGCCCAGGGCCACAGGGAGACTTCGGTTAGGCTGGGGAGGGGAACAGGAACTCCAGCAATTGCTGGGGAGCAGCATTCCAATATTAGTTTCATGGCTGGTGATTCTTACTTCCAAGATATGGTAGCACAGGGTCCTTGGAAGCTCTGGGGCATGGATAGCCTGAGGTCAAGTGGTATGAAGAATTGATTGGCAATTCTTTGCAGCTTGCAGGTGTTATTTACTCCCTACTGCCCGTAGTCTGCTTATACTTTAGGAGAGGTCAGCCAATAAACCTGGATAATATTTACTAAGTGCCTCGCACCCCAGGGGATCTAAAAGAGTGTTATATAGTTCCATTATTCAAATGGCTTGTAATGCATTTGAGGGAGAAAATGATACCAGGATTCAAGTGAAGAAGATATAAGTGCTAGATATTCACCATGCATGAATGGCAGCATGGAGAAGAGAGCTCCTGGTGAATGGTGGGGCGGGGTGGCCAATGAATCTCATTCCTTCAGTTTGTGCCACTTTTTTATTTTTATCGTGAAAATACCGTACAGAGAGGTTACAATTACATGGGCAAGGTAATGAGTACACTTCTTATCAAGCATTGTTGCCTCCTCCTTTGTTTCCCCTTCCCATCTCCCCTC